ATTTTACCTAAACAATTATGTTATTATAAACCAAAAATTCCAAAAAAATTCTAATAAAAATAGCAGTTTCAAAAAAAAACAAGACAAGACCGAATTTCATTTTCAAAAATAATTTTCAAAATTCTTAGGATAAGTTGCTGTGTATAAAACTCGAAAACAAACCAAATTTTGAATAAACCATATTTTTTGGTAATTTCGTAGCCCAAAAATTGTTTTTTTAATTATTAATTTAAACAAATTTATTGTTTAAGTAGTTTTTGTATTGTTTCTAATTTTTTATAGGTATCTTTCTACAAAAATCGGATTTTTTTTAATTGTTTGTTTAAAAAAAACTCAAATTCAAACTGTTAATAAAATTAATAATTTTAGACAAACTCAAATACAAAAGAAAATATTAATTCAAATACAAATTAGTTTTTAAAAAAAGTAAATGCAAAAGCCGCTTGGAATTAGAAATTTTGACAACTATTAGACAAAACAAAAAGTTCACATGTTCAAAAAAAGCCATTTCAAAGAAGGTTTTCAACAATTTGCAGTCATTTTTACTTTGTTAATTCCGGCTAATGTACATTAAGAACGGTTTATGTTTTGTACTATACTTATGTAAAACGTTTCAAGGAGTCGATTGCTGTTAAAAAAATTGCAAAATTCTTGATAGTTATTAATAAGTTGTTGACGAATTAATATCCTTGTTATTTTTGTTTTACCAGCGATTTTCTCAATAACTATTTATCGCAAAACTATGGTGTTTTTTTATAAGATAGGAAATTAAAAGTACTTACCAACGGTACCAAACATAAGACAGTTATCAAAAATAATTTTAAAGTTATTAGCTGATATCCGCTCCGGTCCGAGAATTGCCGAAAATTTTGACAAAAATCAAACAAAATCAACCAATCGCACTTCTAGAAGTCCAAGAAACTTAGAAAAGTACAAAAATGTTGCAAAAGACTCAAAAATATGTATAAAATATTTTTAGGGTCGAGAGAAAAAAAAAAAATTTTTTTATTTTTCGTAGGTTTTCCACTTACTTTCAATGTTCCACAACTGTTCAATGTTGATAAAATTTCCGATTTTGACACTGTGAATCCCCAATTCGTACAGTGGACATTTGGTATAACCCCCAACAGAAACTTGAAAAAAAAAAATTACCAGAAATCAATGATTTCGCAAACCTACCAGGCTGGAAACTGTCTTCTTGACTTTTAGCGTCTCGATCACTACAAAACATTGATGAAAATCTGATAAAACATCAAAACCGACCCACATAATGTCTTTTATGATTTTTTGGACACTATTAGGGGCCCGAAAAATTTGCGACGTCCCTCGCACTTTCAATTCACCAACAGCACGAAGAAAATCCGACATTGTGAGTGGATAAGAATCAGCGATTCCGATCGATCTGCGAAACCCAAAATTATATTGTTTAGACTAATTTTCGACGTACTGGTAACACTCGGCTAGCTCTTTTTCGATTTGCATAGGATCCATGTTTAATTTCCGCGATTTTCGTACAAGAATCACCAAATTTTTCATTTCGTCTTTTTTGAGAAGATTATTTTTGTCGGTGTCTAAATATCTGAAAATGTAGCGACATCGCAACTCGGCTGGACCGCCCCCGTGACTGGTCCCCGGCTCAGTAGCTGACAAAAAGTACAAAAATTCGCGAAAAGAAATCCCCCCACGGCCATACAAGTCCGCTGAGCGGTACAAATGAAGAGCTTCGTCTTTCGTCCAACCCAAATCAACGACAAATTTGACAAAATTTGATAAAGTTAAGTAGACAGCAGGGTAACTCATTAAGAGAAACTCCTTGTAGAGCACTTCCTGAGCTGAAACTTTTCGTAGGAATTAAGTTACAAGAGTTGAAAGGTACCGTGACGGTCTATCCCTGCTGCTTCTACAATTTGTTCATAAATCGTGTTTTTCCCCGAAACTATAACATTTTCCGAAATTTCCATAAAATTTCCAACTGTTTCATGGTCAGATGGCGGGTTTAAAATCGGTGATGGTTTTCGAATAGTCCAAGAAATAAAATCGAGGATTTCTGGGCTTTTCAAAACGCTTGAATTGAAGAGTTTGATAATATCGTCGAAAGTGCACCACCGGATTTTCCCCCTGTACTACACCAAAAATAAACATTTTTAACGTGCGAAATTTTACTTTTCCAAAAGGACTTTTGGACTTTTTCTTCATCTCGAGTGTCACATCTGCTGTGAAAATCGCATGACAGATATAAGGAGTTTTGTGTGGTGACGGCATCCAAAGTTTGTTCAAGCGAGCGAGTCCTTGAATTGAAGCGTTACCGCCGAAAATCTAGAAAAAGGGAAGAATTTGGGGGTTTTTTAGGGAAAATTTTACGTCGTTTAGTAAATCCTTGGCTAGATGGCCTAACCAACTATTTAGACCCGAGACTTTCATCGAAGGGATCCAATATTCGTTGGAACTGGATTCAATAATCAGCATTATGGACGTGTCAATGCGGCAACAAACTATCACAGAGACCACATCGCACAGCTCGAAGATTGATTTAAAAGTTGACGATTTTATGTAACTCATTGAAGAGCTTGGCCGAGAGTCACCGGAGGATCGATTCATTGAAAAGTCATTTTAACGGAACATTTGACATATCATTGTGTCATTTTATCCATAACTAAAACAAAAAACAAAGAATTTTACCAATAAGGGGGTATTATGTTTTTTATAAATTTTTTAATCCTATCACCTGTAATTATTGTGCTAACTGCTCTGTCTGTTACGATTTATTTACCAATATGTGCTAAATATTAATTTGTTCCCTTCTGAAGACTTCTGAAAACTGTTTTTCTTGCAAATTTGAATGGATCAAAGCTAAAGAAGCATAATTACAAAATTAAATAATTTTATAACAATGTGTTTCTACTTCCTGACTAAAATTTCTTACAAAAATTTGAAAATAAAATGTTGCGAGAGTCTTAGATTTATAAGAGCAAGAAAGGGTGCGCCAGAACTCGCGCCCCAGAGAAAAATGCCATATCAGGTAAGATGCCAGGAACATGGAAAAAATGTTAAAAAATTTTATCTATAAAAATTTCGTTTAAATTTTGCACTTTGACTTTATTTATTTCTGTTGGAAAAATAATTTTCCAAGTTTTTTTTTCTATAGGTTATTAAAATAGGAAACAAGAAAGCTGTATCCTAAATTGTAACTCTGTTCAATGTTATTTGTGGCTTTTACTGTCAAAATGTTTGTGCCTTTACTAAATAATTGTAAAAAAAAACATATACAAAAAAAACTTCTCATCAGTATCATTAAATAGACATAAAAAAATGTCAAATGTCAAAAAATAAATGGCAAAATTTTTTGACCCATAGAATTTTTTAACCACTTTTTTCATGTTCCTGATATCTTACTTGAAAATTTTCGCTGGGGCGCGTGTTCTGGCGCACCCTGTATAAAGTCAAAATTTTGGTGAAAAAATTGGTAGATAGCCACAAATTTTGTTTACCCTTTGTTTTTGTCACTAGAAATTTTGTTAAAAAATTATGGTTATGTTTTCAAATTGAGATGTTGTCAAAATTTTGATTTTTATGAATCTTGTGTGCCTGTTTGCTCTTTGAAAGCGCAATAATTGAATACCTGAGGACAGACATCATTATCTCCTATCTCCTAATGTCTAAAGACAGAATTCAGTGCTAATAATTTTGATAGAAACACAACGCAAGTAAGTACAATGTTGTGGACAAAAATGAGGATCTTGCTTCAAAAACTTTGAAGAAAAAGGATGAATATACAGAAAAAAGTTATTTAGCAAAAGATACAAGTAGGTATTATGATGATTGGCAATAAATAAATTTTGTGTAATTTATTGAAATGAGCGAAAAATCGATGCAGTTTATAAATTCTTCTTCAGCTTTAGTTTCAAAATTGTTACTTTTTCAACTCATTCCTCAAAAACGATGCACAAGGCACTAATTTAATTTCCTTCTTTCCGAGGTTCTTTCTCATTCATGTTTGTTTTATATTCTTGTCGATTTCTTGCTAAAAATTAAGAAATATTTAGCAAACCTGCATTACAAATTGCGTCTACATTTTAACGGGCCCTTTTTCTAACTTCCTGCTTGCGAACAATTCGTTTCCAAATTTCGAAAAACTGTTAGTGTACCGAATTTGTTTTATTTTTGGTGTTTCGTCTCTAAATTTTCTTAGACGATTTTTTGTGTTGACGTTTAATGACATTGTTTTCAAATTAATTCAAAAAACCGGAACTGCCAACTTCCTTTACTAAAATTACCAAGAATGAATTTACTAGTGGTGCCAACGTTAAGACTGTTTGGCATTTCCATAAAAAAAAACTTTACAAAGTTTTTCTTAGCCCAAAGTCTCGAAAAAATCAAACTTTAAAATTAATTTACATTTTTTACATTTTCTGAAGTCCTAAAAACTCAAAAAAGTGCATAAAACGTTATTGGGTCAAGTTTAATAAATTACGTTTTTGAAAGTGAACGTTAATAAAATCGCAAAAATGGACAATTTACCTTAAATCGTAAAAACGCTGGAAATATCGCTTTTTAGACGTAAAATTACACGCTGAACACGATGCACCAAGTTAAAATACTCTACGATGCATAGTTTTTAGGATTATTAAAAATAGAGACCAAAAAAACAAAAATTTTTGATTCTTATGAAAAATTGGTACTATTTGTAAAACTAACCCTACTTAGGACTCATAGTTCATCCATCCAAATGAGAAATCACAATTTTCCATAATTTACAATAGACATAAAAACCTCTATTTGACAAAAAAATAATCAATAAAACAATATTTTAAAACTTGAGCTTTGTTTAAAGTTTAAACGCCAAATTATCATAAATCAATCAGTTTGTCTGAAACCAGTCTTATTTTTTTAATTACTTCTGTTGCAGCACTTGCAGGAACTTGAATATGGCTGCACGTGCCGCCACTGACGTCTTTTTCCAATATGGCGCGCGGTGGAGTGACGTGTTTGATTATTTTTGTTGTAATTTGTGGTTTTCTGAATGTAAAAGGACAAAAAGACATTATTTTGTTAAATGAAGACAACTGGACGGACATGCTGAAGGATGAGTGGATGGTGGAATTGTAAGTAAACTGTAATTTCGATTCAAAACAAGTCGCTGTCATGTCAGATGATTTGAAGCGAAACCGACTGAAAAAAACGGAAAACTGATTTTTTGCATGCTTTCGCACGTTATTTAATTAAAACACGGCCTTGGTGCGCATTTCCGGTCGAAATTTTCGATAAAAATTGCAAAATGCAGGCGTGGGCTTTCGCCAAACCCATGCCGGTTTTTACCGTAATTGGCGATAAATTCATCGGTTTAGGTGCAAAAATTGAGAAAAAGTGTTGCGGGGGTCAAGGCACACTGCAAGGCTCCAAAACTCGTGATTGTTGACAAAACGTCATTAGTCAGTGGCGTAACAAACACAAAAAATATGCCAAGTTTCAAAATGATTGACATCTCGGTAGGTCATGGAAATTCATATTTAAGGTGGCAACATTTGTTCTTTGAGAGTTCTAGGTTGTTCACTTTTGTACGATTGCACCCACTGAGGTTGATGATACGTCAATTTCAAAATTTGTGATAATTGTCGCTTTTAATAGATTTTGTGCTGTTTCACATTTATTCCTTTTAGAAAACCTTCCAGTATTTAATTCTCAACCTTCCCCTTTTCTACTTATGTTATTTTTTCAGACAGAATTCAACAGAAATGTCATTTTTATGACGTATCGCGATCTAAAGAATGTTCACATTAGTAACTTTTTTAGAACTAAAATTAAAGTCTGGTTTGCAGTTTCAATGCCTACTGAGATGTTAATCATTTTATCAATTTTTTTTATTATTTTAGTTATGCACCATGGTGCCCAGCTTGTAAGGGTCTCCAAGACACATGGAGACAGTTTGCGTCATGGGGCCTCGATATGGGGATCAAGGTTGGTCAAGTCGACGTGACCTCTTCACCAGGTCTCAGTGGTAGATTCATGGTGACTGCTTTGCCCACCATATTCCAGTACGTGGTCACTAGATCAGTCTAGAATTTTTAACAGTTTTTTTAGTGTCCTCAATGGTGAATTTCGACAATACAAAGGTTCCAGAGATAAGGAGTCTTTCATGTCTTTCGTAGTCGAGAAAAAGTGGCAACAAGTCGAACCTGTGCCTTATTGGAAATCGCCCAACTCTATACAAATGTCGATCGTTTCCACATTTTTCAAACTATCACAGACTTTGAGGGTAATTAACATTAACAAAAAGAAAACACAAATTTAATTATTTTCCAGCTGATTCATACGAAATTGATGGATGATTTTGGGTTGCCAACATGGGGGTCTTACTTGATTTTCGCCATAGCTACCATCATCATGGGGGCTTTACTGGGATTGGTTTTGGTTTGTATGATTGATTTGATCTATCCTCCCAAACAAACAGTGGTAGTGACCAAAGAACAGAAGAAAGCAAAGGAATCTGATGATGAATTGGTGAGTTTTAAGAGTTTTTTATGAAATCAATAAATAATTGTTGTAGGGAGATGAAGATATCAAAGATGATTTATTAGATGATGCTGAAGGGTCAGATAAAGATAAAAATAAAAGCAATCCAAGCAGTCCAAACGCCAAGAAACGTAAACCAAGAAGAGCCGATTAATTAAACAAGAGGGCAAAATTTGAGACTTTAGTGACAGTTTGCGAAGTGACTAACATAAATGGAAAGAAATCAATGATTCCGACAAGATATTTAAATTTTCTATTATTATTAATATTATTGTAGATTTTTTCAATAAACTTGTGATGTTATTTTTAACAAGCGTTTTTGCTAACACCCCAAACTTTGCACAAATATCCAAATATTTAATAGTTTTTTATTTTTTGTATTATTTTTTAATTTTATTATTAACACGCAATTTGTTAAAAACACCAATGGCACATGAAAAGTGCAATAATAACACATTTCACTTTACCTATTTTTCAATAATTCACGACCGTTATTTTTATTTTGTTTTTGGCGACTGTATTATATGAGATTTGTCAAAATTTCGTGACAGGTTCGGCTTGAATTATCCAAATCCAACAATGAAGAAAATGTTAAAGTATAAATTTCAGTTTTCGCCTCAAAGCGTCCCAAAATGAAACCTTTTTCCAGAAAGAAAGGATTTCTGATTGACAAAATCACCGAAGATTCATTTTACGAGAACCTACTCCTAGGTGTTACCTCAGTGTTGAAAAATTGCAATTTTGTGACTCAAATCCACCTCGAACGTTGCCCTGCAGCAACAGTTGAAGAAGTGTCAACTTGGGAGGCCACCAACGGTCTTCTTCTACCCAGCGACCTCCGAAATTTTTTCCTTTCGACCAATGGGTTTTCCTTTACTTACAAATTCCAGTATGATAAGGGTGAAACTGACGACCTGAGTTGCTGCGTGTTAGGAGGCATTGAAATCAACCCTCTTTCACAAATGGAAAGACTCGTGACCACTGATACAATGTATTTGACTGAAGGTGGGATCAAAATCCTGGCTCCTTATAGCAAAATACACGTTTTGGCCAAAATGGACGACAATTGCGTGGTTTTGGCCCAGTTTAATCCCTCGAAACCCGCCAGTATTTGGTTGTACTACAAAATGAGGATTTTTTACCTCATTTGTGAAGACTTTGTGACGTATTTTCGCATGGCGTTGGCCCATTTAGGGGTGCCTGGGTGGCAATTAGCCGTCTTAAAGGCCACTCTCCCGGAATGGAGCAACGAAATGATACATATTTTGGCACCTGGAATCCTCGAAAACAGACCTTTGGTCGAGAAAAACGAACTAAACGTTATCGACTCTTCAATTTTTGAATTTGAAGATAATCCAGAGTGTGATGTGGAAAGTGAATGTGATAAGAAAAAACCGGTAAAAAACAAACCGAAAAAGTGAAAGTTCTATTGTAACAAAACGTAATATAATGAAAGTATGGAATTGGGTAATTAACCCCCCATAATCCGCAAAAACGTGAAGAGGTTAATAACAACATTGAGCAACAATTGGACTAATTTCCTCCCTAAACCACTCCGATGAAGTGGGCACTTTTTCGAGTAACAAATTCACTCGTCTTCTTCATAGAGTAAACGGTGTCGTTTCGGAAGATCCATTTCTTCACTCGAATCATCATCGTCGTTATCTTTCCTACAAACTAGTGTAAAACTCAATTCCCCTAAAACAACCACAAACCTGAATCTCCGACCCTTGTTTTTACTGACATCGACACCATTCTTCTTGTGTATCTTCAAAATCGTTCCGATTTCTTTATCTTTGTTGTTCTTCTTCTTCTCGTGGGCAAACTTTTTCACGTAAATTATCCGTTTCTTTGGGACTTCCTCACTCTCCTCATCTTCATTAGTGTCATCATCGTCCGTTTCTTCAGTATTGTCACAATCCCTCCCCTTTTTGGTACAAGATTCACTCACTTCGTCTTCTTCAGTATCGTCATCTTCGTCACTTTCTTGGAATTTCCGGGTGTAGATCTTCGATTTTGTCACTTTGACGGGTTCTTCATCTTCATCTTGGTTATTTTTTCTAGATTTTCGTCCCTTGGTCAACACTTCTTCATTTCTGATTTTGAACCTTTTCGTTTCGTCGTTGTTCTTCTTCCCTCCCTTGTACTTTTTTTCAGTTACGTCGTCTTCGTCATTGCGTCCTCTATTCTTGTTCTTCCTAAACTTGCGATCATCTTCATCTTCGAGATCACGTCTCGTGTATCTTTCTCTCGTCTCACGTTTATCACGTTCGTTGTATTCAGTCACTTTGTGCTTCCTGTCGCAGTAAGCCGTGGGGATGATTGTGAAGCAGATGAACAAAAGAGTGAAACAGATGAAGATCCTGCATTTTGGCGGTAAATTTAAATTTGCTGGGGCGGGGTGTCCACTTACCTCATTTTGTCTCGACAAATGCTTCAAATTGCTTTGTTTTTCTCTTAAATAGAAAAAAAATGTTGATACCTGTGTTTGCTCTGATAAGGGCTTGGATCCTTTAATCCCGATCTTTGTAACAATGAAAATAAATATCTTCAGTGTTTATTAAGTATTTACACATTCCCAACAAAACCAAATCATTGATGGGTCTCAATTCGCAACTTAAAATAAACTGAAAATTATTAGATAATTTCCATGTTGTCGGTCTTCATTTAGGGTTTTGGTTGGAACGAGATGGCTGTAAAGACGTAGAGATTGTATTTTTAAAACCTGGCACTGGATCTCCGAACTGCTTACGTGTCCAATAAATAAATTTCTATAAATACGACCCGTTTGAAGTACCTACGAATCGAGCCAGTGCGAATTTTAGTATAATATAGTTTAGTTCGTGTAAGTTTCCATCTTGCTGTAAGTAAATAGGATGTTTGTGGACGGATTTACTTGTTTTCCCATGTGTCAAACAATGTTCTAAGACTCACAGCTTAAGTCTTTCGCAACAACCAACGTCAATGATTCCCCCGAGTTGCATAACGATTTTTTTAAGGCGCCAAGGTGAACTCAAATTTAGGTTTTGTTCAATTTTTTTTGGGTGAGTCAGAAAGGCTAGTTTATGGGTTAGTGACAGTCTAGACGAGCTTTGTTTTAGTCAATAGATATGACCGGAAACTTTCCTCTAACATATTTTTAGAAAAGGTGAATGAATATACCTGATTATCTGTCAAGTTCGTTGGCTTTTCCAAAGATGAGATTTTTTACAAAATATTTGTTTTAAAAACAATGCACTTGTTTATTAATGTCGCGTACAAAAATACTTCTTGTAACTGTTTATTTCAATTGTTACATATTTTTAGTCTCAGGTGTGACGTTTACTGATAATAAATTGCTGGGGGCAATGCCAATGTTTCTCTCTGTTTTGAAACAAAGAATTTTTTTATCTCTTCAAATGTCGTTTGTTTTTTTTTTAAATCAATTATTTCCTTTTATTTTAGATAAATACATATTTATTTAACAACTTATATTAATTCTTGTGTATTACAAAATAAACTTGTCTATGCATCATATTGGTTTCCTTGAAAGTTTTATAACAAATAAATTATGTCTATATTTAATTCAACATTCAAATGAAAGTGTTAGTCATAAAAGACAAAAATATGAACTAAAACGTTTATAACATTTGGTTTATTTCTTAGAAGGAAATTCATTCAATTACACATCAGTTTATTTCAATAACTGTTTTTTAACCTTTTTTCCTCTCAACGTTGTTTATATTTATTTGATAAAAAATATACCGGGTGACAAAAAAATCTCTTGGCAACACTGAATTATCTAATTGTATTAATTTGTTATATCGGAATATTTCAGGTGACGGCAAAATCAGCAGTCGCCCGTCGCAAATGACAATTGCTTATAAAATTGTGACGTTTGAATTTGCAAGTCAAGGTTGCCAAACTAAATTTGATACCAATTTGAAGTAAAAAATCACCATCATTTACAGACACCCGGTAGTTTCAAGGATATTTAGTTTAAATACACTATACAGCTTCTCCCAAGTTTTAGGGCCGATCCAAAAATAAATATTTCTAATTGAATAAAAAAATGTTTTGCTAGTGAGGATTATACAGACATCAATTTAGTATTTTTACAAATTTTTTTCTAATGGTAACTGAAAATTGAATAATGTAAAAGTTGATAGATTTTGAGTAATTAACATTTTAATATTGAAAATTCGGAATTCTGGTAATTTATGGCCACCCATAAATTATTAAAACTTTCAAGATTTTCAATAATAAAATGTTAATTACTCAAAACCTATCAACTATTGCATTATTCTATTTTCACAATTATTACTAGAAAAAATCAAGTAATTTTTTCATGTAGAAATTATTCCAATTCTAATTAAGTGAAAAATTGTTTTTTCAAATTTGGTTTTTATGATCTCACTGCCATACGCCAAAAATTTTGAACAATATCGAAGCACTTAATTAAAGTCTGTATACTCCTCTATTGTTTGCACTAGCAAATTTTTTTTTAATCAATCAGAAATATTTCTTTTTGGGCCGGCGCTAAAACTTGGGACAGGCTGTACACTACTCTAAAAAAATTGAAAAAAGTGTGATTTTTGAAACGCTGTATACGTATCTCAGTGATTAAAAAAGAAACATTTTGAAGCTTCAAATTTCTTGTTTTGAGAACTTTTTTAATTTTTTTTATGAGCTACTGTTATTACGCAATTTTAAGAAATTTTTGGTCCCAGACTTTTTTTTAAGTTAAAGCAATACATGGACCGGATAGCTTATTCATTCAACTTCAATTTGCTTTTTTTATGTTTCTTTTACGTCAATTTGTCGCTGAGATATCTGACTTTTAATGAAAAGGATCCTTTTTGTCTTTGATCATTGATATCTCCCCAACCAATTATAAAACAGAGAATGTAAAGGTAATTTCAAAAACTGGAATAAACTTCTTACAAGATCCTGTTACAATTTTTTGAAAAAAAAATTTTTTTCACCCTCAACATTGATTTAAAGAAAAGAGAGAAAAGAAAAGTAACTTTTCACAAATATTCAGGAGAAACTAATGTTTCCAGTTTTTTTACAACTTAATGTTACCCCCAATAGCCAATAAATTTTTAAAGCGATCTATCAATTAATAATCTACTTACATCAAAAATTTTTAACTTACAATTTTGCTAAAAAAACATCGAAAAAATTTAAAATTTTTTTTTTTTTTTGAAAATGTTTTGAGCTACTGTTATTACACAATTATATGAAATTTTTGGTTCCAGGCTTTTTTTTAAGTTAAAGTAATGCATGGATCGGATGGCTTATTCATTCAGTTTCAATTTGCTTTTTTTATGTTTCTTTTACGTCAATTTGTCGCTGAGATATCTGATTTTTAATGAAAAAGGACCCTTTTGTCTTTGATCATCGATATCTCCCCAACCAATGACCGCACAGAGAATGTAAAAACTGGAATAAACTTCATACAAGATCCTTTTACGATTTTTTGAAAAAAAAATTTTTCACCCTCAACATTGATTTAAAGAAAAGAGAGAAAAGAAAAGCTACTTTTCACACTAATGTTTCCAGGTTTTTTACAGCTTAATGTACCCCCAATAGCCAATAATTTTTTAAATCGATCTATCAATTAATCTCCATCAAAAAATTTTTGACTTGTCTTACAATTTTGCTAAAACAACATCGAAAAAATTTAAAAAAAAAAATTTTATTATTTTTTTTTAAATATTTTTTTTTGATTTGCATGAGAATGTTCGTAAATCGAGTTCTGGGGTATCAGAACTTATTAAAGACAAAAAAATTGTGTCCACAAGGGGGCTACAAATCTAAAAAAATACAATGATCAAAAAGTGTTAATTAACGGGAAAAAATAATTCAATATCTTTTTTTGTAAAAACGATTCGCAACTTGGATAAAAACAATTATGAAGTGAAGTAAAAAACAAATTAAAGGACGAAAAAGATAATTGTGGCCATTGTGTGTTCATTTTTGACAACGAAATGTTGCACTTACAATAAATTTGCATATCTAAAAAGGCTAAATTCTTGGTACTTTGGTTTGTTAAGAAAAATTATGAATTAAAAACAGTGGAAAGCTTTCGTCTATTTTTGGCACCCATAATATTTACATTGGCCTCAACCCAGGCAAATTTCTACCAAAATAAGTCCATTTTTCCCATAAATCAAGTTTTACCAACGACGCACCACTAATTCCAAGTCCACTGTGGTTATATTTAAAAATGCGCTGTGTATTGTTCCAACCACCACGTGAACCTCTTGGCAAAGTCGATGGTCAAGTTTCCCCGAAACTCTAATAATAACCTTTGATAATAACACGTAGACTCACTTTGATATCGTTAAAGTGGCGCAAATCGTTTATTTTTTGTGTGAGTTGTCGGTTAAAAATAAAACCAACTCAGACTCACTACTTTTGCTCGCCAGAGAACGTCTTAGTCACAATGGGTAACACACGCAGTGCACCACAACATGAAGAAGACATATGGTGGAACAACAATTCTTCAGTTGACAAAAGTGACGAAGTTGAACCGAAAGAAGAAACACCAAGTGACCGTCAGCGGCGTCACAAACAGGAACTAGACGAGTTTAAGCTCGAACTAGCCCGAAAACACGAGAAACGTAGACAAATAATCGCCGAAAAGCGGAAAGAAATGGAGGATTTACGTGACCAAGTCAAACGTTTGAAGCAAGAAAACGAAGAATTGAAGAATGGAAGACTTACAAGTGGGCCGAACGACTTGGAAGAAATCAAACGGAATAATCTCGAACTGAAAATGACAGTTGCAACACTCCAGAAAGATATCCAAGACTTGAACAGTGAAGTAATAAACTTTGAAAAAGAAAGAGCGGATTATAAAGCCCACGTTGTCGCTCTTAAAGACGTTGTGAGTGTTTCCAAGCAGATGTTGATGATCCGGGAAGCACAATTGAAGGAAATGAGGGAAAAAATCAAAGAAATTGAAGCGTCTTTAGCTGGAAAGGAACTCAAAGTTTTGTCACAAGACTTGAAAGCTGAGTATGAAAAACAGTTGCAAAATATCAGAAACTTGAGGATTGTCTACGAAGAGCGACAACGTGCTGATAAGAAGCAAAAAGACGAATTGAAGAATTTGGTAGAAGAAGTCAAGAAGGAGTTGCAAGACGAGAAGGAGAAAAATTCGTAAGTTTCACTCGTGGTGGCCTTTAAAGAGTCATTGTTTGTATTTTAGAGAGCTTGGCGAAAACTTGGCCAGACTTGAAGAAGACAATTCGAAAAAATACGACGAAATCAAAAATTTAGAATCAAATTTGGGGTTGACGAAAGCCGAATGTCGCCAGTATCAAGCAGAATTATCAGTTATTAATCAAGTAAGTGTGAAATTTTTGAGTAGCAAGATTAATTGTTTGTAGTTGTTCTCCCAAATTCTTCTTGGTTTCAAAAACAACCAAGAAATCGACATCGACAAACTCATTAAGCTGTTAGAGGAAAACCATCACCTCCTCCAAGACATTGCTGTTAATGAAGAATCCAATCAAGTGTCAGCTCTTCCGAAAGTTCTTTTAGACCTAGTGAGCGAAGTGAGTGAGGAAGCATCAAAAACAAACCCAGAAACACAAATTTCCAACCAAGTGAACAGCGCATCAGAAATCGTTGAAAATCTACCAAAAGTGTGGAAAGTCTTGATTGAACTTTTGAGTCATCAGAGTGCTCCCACAACCAATGAAGACCCCAAGAATGAAAATCCTTGCTACAAAGTGGTGGAAGGTCCAAAAGGGCCTCATTTGGTCCTGAGCGTAAGCCAGACTTTTATCCGATTGAAGGTAAGTCACTGAGCTGTCAACAATTTTTTCAAATTCCTTCTTCCAGGACTTGATTTTGGAGAAAAAGTCCCTAGAGCGTGAAACTAACCGCCTCAAGCAGCTCAACACCCACTTGGAGGGCCGTCTCCAAGAGCAGGAAAAACGCCTAGAATTGGTCTCAAATGAACTCTCCGAGACTTGGCACGTGGTGGGCAAACTCCAAAAGAAGCACGAACTTCTCCACACACAAGAAAAAATTCTCCGTTACGAATTGGCCCAAAAACGCAAACTTTTAACCGAACTCAAAGGCGAACTCGAATACAGCCGTGAAAAGTGGCAAGAAGCCAGAGAAAAAAATTCAAATACTGAAAAACAATGGGAACAATTGCGAATCGAGTTCGCTTCGCGGAAAAACGGAGGAGGCGATGATTCCAACAACAGCATCGAGAGTGGCTACAGCGACGACAAGGAGTCGTCGAGTGAAGACGATTACGACATCGACGAAAACAAAGAAAAGACAATTGATGCACGAGAAGAACGGTTGATGCGTCTCGAAAGTCAGGCAAGTAGCTTGGTGAAACAAGTGACAAACACGACGAGTAGAGGGGAGGCCATGGTTAGCAAATTGGATTCGTTGCATGAGATGTACGGGGAGGGGCAAGAGGAGGGAGAAACGTCAGGGCGGGGCGCTGAGTAAAGTACAAACTTTTGTACAAAATTTAAGTATTATTGTGCTGTAATATTTTTGCAATTGTTTTTATATGGCAATACAATATTTAATAAAGTTGTGTAAAAAATCACAGAGCCCAAATTTTCACATAGTCCACTTTTAAAACACTAGAATTGTCCCAAGTTGGTAACCATTGTGATGAAGCTTTGTAGAAGTTTTTTTGTGCTTTGGGGTCGTTGTTTTTCCATGGCTTGCTGCCATCATTGCGATCCTCAAAACAATGACCTCCAACTCCCACACCAATTGTCAAATACATCTAAAATTACCACTAAGTCTACTTTTACCAAAAATTCAACTCAACCTCTTTATCAAATGGTGCGAATGAAGTGCCATTACGCCATCTCTCGACATTCTTCATATCTAAATCCAAGTTCTGAGACTCACTTACAAAACCCCCCTTAGGGGGGTAAATATTTCCATAAACTTGGTCATCAACCATGAGAATAATTTCGTCTAAAACCAGAATTAAACAAATGGAAAAGTTGTTTTTATTGGAATTATCAAATTAATTAAAAAAATAAAAACTGAATTGTCAAAAAGATTTTTTTAGCGAATTTTAACTTTCCATTATTTCTGTTATTGAAATGTAACGTTATTATACTCTTATTCATATTAATGTGCATCAATTTAAAGGCCGATTCACACAAATAGTGTCATTAATGTCATTCAGAACAAATTTAATCACATCAATAATGACAAAAACTGGGGTACACATTTTTAGGGAGGATTGAGGTTAAGGTTGTTTGAATTTTCGCATGGTCGCCAACTTAAAATGATTCTTTTCAACCACTACTTTGATGAAAACGACTACACATCTGATTAATCTAGGGGCTTCACCTGGTTTCCAGATTGCGGTAAATTTGTGATAGTCATCGCTCCACGAGCCTTCGTTTTTCTCAATTTTTTTCAAAGCGTAATTCCTAGCGGCAGGGGAACTCCCCAGTACACACCCGCCGTACAGTTTTCGCGCCATGGCTTTATTTCCGGGGAGGTAAGCGATCCGGATTTGCCCGGAAGCGTAATCCGGGCCGTACTCCTCATTCACCGGATTTAGGAACAATTGAGGATAAATCCAGTCACCTTTGGGCAATTTAGCCCGAATTTCGATTTTCCCAAACTTGAAAGACCATTTATTTTTCGTGGTGATCCGACCCGAAGCTACTGGAGGAAGAATCAAAAAAGCCACCGCTTTTTGGACACATTCGGTGGTGCCGGGGATTCCCGTACATCTGGAATAGTATATTACAACCAAGCTGGGAAATACGTCATTTATCTGTCAAAGTTCTGTCAAATGTTTTTGACATTAGATGTAATGACACACTTCCCGACCTCCAAAAGGCATATTATTACAGTACTTGTGAATAAAAATTGAAGTTTACTTTTTACTCACTTATCGCCAAGGTCTATTTCGTGTTCAAAACTCACGAATCCTTTACCGAAGAGTTGTTCGGTGGGAATTGGGCGAATGACAAGTTCATTGTTGACCACCGACAAAATTTCCTTTCGATCAGTGTACAAAACAAATTCAAAATCCTACAAGTGACAATTATCAAAATTTTCATTCTTGTTTTGGGCAAAATTTTGTTACCGGTTTTCCGGCATATTTGATTTCTGGAGTCCACAAGTCTGGCTTCAATTTGTCGAAATTTTCGCTATAGATTTCTTCTCCTTTACACATCTTTTGGTGTTTGCTGATCGTAGCGCTCGCTTTGCAACCACTAGGAAGAGTTTCTTCTTCGGGTGCTGGTTTTGGCACCAGTGGGGTTGAAGGTGATCCCTTTTTGTCTAACAATTGGCTGACTACAAACTCTTGATCGTCTTTAGTGTACCCCAATTTATTTTTCCCGTCAAAATAGTCAACATAAGTCCAGTAATATAGTCTGTCTCCAAGTTTTAATTTCGCATAAGGGTCGTAGAAGGTCCAACGGCCGTTTTTAGCCTTTGTGATGTCTCTTGAAAATGTTCCCCCTTCACGGCCATTCATTTCTTCATTGATTTTGGCGTGGAAGGCGAAGAGTTTTATGCCTTCTTGGTCTGGGAAAGTGTGGATTTTTGTAATTGAACGAATTTTAAATAAGTAAACTAATTTTTGCTTTAATTGTGCGCTGTTTTTAACAAAATAATGAATTTTATAAAAATTTAGGGAATTTTACGTCAGTTAGTAGTTTTTTCATGTTCGCCACCGAAAATTCGGAACATCATTGTCACCAACATTGAAAACAAAAAATGCACTATACTGATAAAACACCCAAACGAGTTTGTTAATAGCCTTGATAAGGACATAAAACGGGTTTTTACTCACCTGGAATCGACACTCGCAGACCTTGAGGTTGAAAAACTTCAATCAAAGCATCCGGAACTTCAAAGTCAGCTAAACTTAATCTTATAAAATAAAACACTACAAGCCATACAAATTCTTTCATTTTTACTCTTGCTACAAATGTAAAATGATTAAATAATGTTTAATCGTTGTTATTCGAGCAAAATTGAGGTCACAAGGTCATCGGGAATTCCACAAGACGCGCACCAATCGAAAGAATTCTTCCTCGATCAGGGTGGGATTTTCGAAAATGGGGAATTTTCGCATGAGAACAAGGTCACTTTAGAGTTTGTTTTCATGGTATTACAAAATAATATACATCAGATTTATGATCACAAAACCTAATTTTAAAGAAAAAGTTTGTTTTGGTTATTGTTAGAATCAATCCGGGCCCTGATTTGTACAAAACCGCTCCTGTTCCCAAAACAAACGTCATAGAATGACATATCACAATAATTCCATACAACACAACATCCATAATATGTTTGCGTATTACTTTCGTCAATAACAAAGTGATTTAATTTAGTAATAAAGTTTTTTTTAATGATAAGAAGATTGGCGTTTCCATGTTTTAAATAGTATTATAATAATTTTACTGATTGCACACTTTTCGTCTCTAAATTTCCAAAAACTGTTGGCGGTACCGAATTTGTCCTCTTTTTTGTGTTGTTCTCTCTAAATTTCCTTAGATGGTTTTTTTCTGACGTTTAATGATCAAAAACCGGAATTGCCAACACCTGTTATTAAAAATACTATGAATGAATTTGCTAGTGGTGCCAACGTTAAGACTGTCTGATATTTCCATTTAAACAGGCCACACGATTTTGTATTGTAATAACAAATAAATTAATAATTTTCCGAATGTGAATAGCTAATTTTTGGTCATTTGTAATTTCTACTCTACAGGATTTTCCTTGCTAATGACATAAGGCGTAATTTTGACAGATGTCAAATAGCTTGGTTATTTTTTCTAAGCCAACTGCAATGAATCAAGTGCTAATTGTTTACAACTCCCAGAAATAACTTAATTGAAATAATTATAATAAACAATGAGCAACGAAAAATATTTTGTAATTGACACCAGGAAAGTGTGTTTATACTAATCCCCACGTTGTTTTATCTAATCAGCGTATAAATTTCCAGGTAATAAATGTATTATTTTTTTTTTACAATGCATTGTTCATTCTTTATCTAGATTTAGTTTTCGAAAATGTCTGGTGGCGGAAATAAGAAAAAGCCGACGAAGACCCAAGGTTGGGAAGAGGCAGGCTCAGAGTTCTACCAGGAAAGTTACCCCACTGATGCTGACTTAGACCCTCTACAAAAAGACCCAAATCCTAAACATTTAGCGACGTTGTTACCCAGCAAGCAAACACGGGCAGGTATGTTTCACGGTGATGATGGTGTCAAGCATTCCAAAAATTGTGTTTCAGCTGCAACAATTAGGATTCGCACAAATGACAACAGGACGATTCGGAGACAAACAGCTTCACGGTCGCGAAGAGACTCAACTGTGCATAGGAGAGCGTCAACAGCAGGCGATGTGCAAGTGGCGATGCTCCCAGACTTGTCGGAAAATCTCTCCAATGAGCAAACCACTTGGGAGGAGATCATGCAGATCAAGGGGATGCCGGTACCCATGGCCCAGAAGAAGGAAATGAAGGCCAAAATTCTAGTAAGAATATTTTTTGTATGTTATCTTAAAAACAACGTGCCAAATTTTTATTCACTTGCTAGGTAAACAAACACGTTATCGTAATTAGATGATTCATAACTTCCCCTGATTAAGTTCTGATAGAATTTATCTGGGAAAAAATGCTCCTACACAAAAGTTGAGTCACAAATATGGGGATTAATTGTAAAAACAATCAAACACAAAAAAAAAATAATTTGAAAACCTAACTTAAAGCAAATTCAAGTGAAGTAATAAAAATGTGAATAAAAATAAACAATACATACATAAAATCTAGAAAACAATATTAAGAACATATACCTATTAATTATTATTTTA